TTTTTTTTGGTACTAGAGATCAAACTCGGGACCTTGCACTTGTGAGGCAGGGAGTAGAACCACTGAGCTAAATCCCTGGCCTTTCTTAGTTTACTTTTTAAATAAATCTTACATATTATCTTTACATTTTCCCAAGTTACTAAAAGCTCTTTGTAAAATACCCCCCCCAGTACATAATATAGGCTTTGCCTGAGGCAACTGTTAGATAAGAAAATAAGATGTAGGTGGTGGATGGTGCATGGGTCTGTTGAGCACTGTCCTAGACTCTCATGTTGAACTGCTGGCTGCTGGCTGCTGCATATAGAATTCTGACTCAGTCTGGGTTATGTGGCCTGTGAGAATGGCTCTTCCCTGGGGCCACTTTTTTCTTCTGGCTGGGGATGTGGGATACACTGAGCCTGTGTTGTCTTTGGTTATTGGATAGAGGACCAGAAGTCTGATCCTGAGTTTGAGTTGCCCTTCTGAGTGAAGGGCTGTGAGATGTGGTTGGTGGGGTGGTCTGGGCCTACTTGCTACGTTTGGTGTGTGGGGCAGGGAATGAAATTTCCCTTTTTGGTCGTCTTTGGCAGTTCTGGTTCTGGCATAGTGGTCCCCCAGCAAGTATGATTATGGGATCCACAGTGGTCTTCCTGCTAGGACTCTGTTACTACCCCTGTACCATTCCTTTGACCACAGAAAGCAAACTTGGGGCTTTTTTTGGTGTGTGTGGCCAAAACTCAAACTCAGGACCTTGTGCTTATGAGGCAGGCAGTGGCACTACTGAGCTAAATCCCAGGCCCTGACCTCCATTTGTTGATGGTTCTGAGTTTCAGGACCTTCTAGTGTGCAGTCTGCAGAAGGCTCAGGAAACTTAGTGGTATATTGCTTTTTAAGTGGTATATTGCTATGAGGTGTCTTGCCATTGTGCTTTTCTCTGCCTTTCAAATTCTTTTGTGATGGCTGAAATACTTCTGGGAATTTTATTTAAATTTAAAGGGAAGGAGCAGGGAAAAGTAAACTTGTACCATTTTGTTTAGGACTAGAACTAGTTCCTGGAGCTAATTCCTGAAATTGTGGGATAGTGCCACAATTTCACTTTAATTTTTCATTTTTGAGTTCACATTCTGAGTGTAATATGACAGGTTGTTGCACAGTGTTTGGAACCATTTTTTGAGTATCTTACTTTTATATTGTCTCAACTCCGTAATGAACATTTTCTTCTGATTTTTTATTATTTTTAAAATCTAACTTTCTGTGAAGACGAGATTCTTTCAACCCGTTAAAACTTGCCAATAGGTCTGACATATGTACTGAAACATAAATGTCCTCAAAACTTAACAGTCACATATTCAACCATGACCTTATGACTAAGTATTAAAATATATTTGGTTAAAATAAAAGACGAGAAAAGGGAAAACACATTTTAGCTCAAGTGATACTTCTAAATTGCTTTTCAGAGATGTACAGGTTTATGTCAGTAGTGTATGAGACTGGTAGATTCATTGAACCCTTGCTAACCTTGCTTATTAAAGTTTTCAGTTCGCTAATTTTATAGATTTTCAATATATTCAATCACTAGTGAGGTTGAACATTGATTTATATGGAGTAATTGCTGTTTCCTCTTATGAAGTGTTTACTAACTTTTCTGTTGGGGTTTCACTGTTTCTCTTATTGTCCGAGCTTTTTATATAATTAAAAATGATCGTTCCTTAGTTTTTTGTGGGCTGCTTGGGTCTTAGGTAACTTATAGAAGAAAGAAACAAGAAAGAGTCAGGTTGCTGGAGTATGATTAAAACCTGGAAAACAAGATGGGGCCGTGGAAAATCAAGACAGGTTAGTGGGTTAGAGATGTACTTACATGTGCACATCAGAGTACTCACAGTAGAGTGGTTGGATAGTCACCCAGAGAGATAGGAGGTCATGGTCAGAATGTGGGATGTGTGAACTGGTAAACCTGCATTTGAGTCAGTTATGGTAAGATAAAAAGCTGAAGAAGTGGATGGCCAAGCTGGTGTGGAGGAGGAGGTCTTTCTAGAGGTAGCATGAGTGAGCTGAGAGGCAGGTACTGCATGATTATCCAGGCACTTGTTGGAATTTCTTGGGATGATGGCAGGATGACTGGAGAGCAAGGCTATGGTAATGGACAGCTGGCAAACTGAATGATGGTGGCAACAGAGAGAGAGAGAGGATGGCAATGCCAGGTTGTGGGAATCTGAAGGGAACTCACATGAAGAGAAAAAAAAAGTGTTTAATACATTTGTAGAAGAGAAGGAATGGAATTAAGTCACACATTTTATAATATACATTAGTCATTTCTATAAAAGAGATTTCATGTTTGAAAGAACTTTTCTACTTCTCTATCATTTCTGTCTTCCTCAGAGCAAAACATAGTAATTACTATTCTCATGGATCAGCAGCGCTATTCTGTTAGGCATTAACTCTGTCTTTATGTTTCACATCATCATTTACACTGTTTCACAATGAAACTTTACTCCAGTGAAATTAAAAGCGCCTAAAGAAATTAGAACAAACAGTAGCACAAGTTCATGTGAGTGAATGCTAGAGGCTTAAGAATTTTTATTTACTGATTTAGTAACACTATCTACTGGTACAAACCAATTTATTCATATTATATAAGCTGCAATAACAAGTGAAAGCTACTTTAACAAAAAATAAATTCAAGAATAAAGTCACTAAATATATATGCCACTTATTTCCTTGATAATTATCTAAATTATACTGAATTCAAGTCTCAGAGAAAAAGATTGGAAACGGTTACAAAAGAAGGTCTTGTGTATTATCAGGTGTATTTTAAAAACATTTGAGATCCTTTGGGAAAATTGTGTTAATCTTTTTTATCAGAGATTTCTTTTGGTTCTTTTGTTGGTGATACACCTCTTTCTATATCCCTACAGTCTACTTTGCCTTCAATTTTATCATTTGATTCTTATTTAGTTGTTTGTCTTTTTCATCCTCCTCCTTTTAAAAAATTATTATTGTTATTGTTATTTTTGGTGGTGGTACTGGGAGTTGAACCCCAGATCTTTACACTGAGCCCTTTTTTTCTTTTTCATTTTGGGATAAGACTCTCAAAGAATTGGACAGGCAAGGGTTTAGCTTGCTATCCTTCTGTCTCATCCTCCAAGAGTACTGGGATGTTGTTGTTTTAATTCTTTTATTTTGAAATCTGGTTTCTTAGGGTTACCCTATGTTCATCTTACTAGTGAGCCTGTGGATGGGTAGAGGTTATGCGCAAATACCAAGAGCCAGCAAGTCTGTCATGTTTTACAGATAGATCTTTCTGTGGGTTTAGGATTAGGCATGTTCAAAATTCTGTTTTCTGGTTTGCCTAGGTTGCAATTTTTCCCAGGTTCTTTTAAATCTCTTGTGCTCTTATGCACATTCTTAGGGTTGGCCAGAAATAGGATTCTCAGAGATCTTTTTTCCTTTGTGGTGTGTGTGTGTGTGTGTGTGTATTTCTTTTGTGGTATGTGTGTGTGTGTGTGTGTGTGTGTGTGTGTATACCTTTATCTCTGTTTGGACTGTACCCACAGGCTGAAGAGCCACTGTTGATCCTTTCCTGCTGGCCAGCCTTTAAAAAATCGCTTCCACTGACAGTGTCACTGAATGTTGGCTTGGCCCACCACTTGTGATCACGGGAACCTCAACTCTGGCGGAGGAACTGCCAGCCATTGTGGTCTGTCTCCAGATCAGAGCTATTGTGCAGGCTGTGGCAGCGTCTCAGTATTCTTATCTGAAGTATGATAGTTTTTCAAGCATGAGTGTTTCTCAGGTTTCTGAGATGGTTGTTGGTCAAATTTGTCCAGCTTCAAGGTTGATTTTTTTTTTTTTTTTAGGAGAGATTTACTGTTTTCACCGAGTTGTAGTTGCAAGACCCTCTCTTCTATGTGCCTGTTCTTGCCTTGAGATTATCTTAAAATAAATGCATTTTTGTTCTAGCTAAAGAAATTTCTAAAGAGAATCTCCAAAGATTTTAAAATTTATACTCTGTTTTTTTTTTTTTTTTTGGTACTAAGGATCAAACTCGGGACCTTGTTCTTGGGAGGCAGGTGGTGACACCACTGAGCTAATCCCCAGCCCTGTATTCTTAAAATTAATTTATAAATAAGAAAATTTATATATTGTCACATATATGGGTAGTATATTGCTCTTATTTAATTACACTTTGCAAACAAAGAAAATAAGCCTCATTAAATTAGGGAATTTGCTCAAGCTTGCAAAAATGGGTCTATAAAGAAAAGTTTTCAGTAGTATATAAGCTGACTTTGCAGATAATTTTGAATTGGAATTTCAAAGACATTTTTAGTGATTACATCCCCCCCTCACCCTGCCCCACTTGAGCCCAAAATCTACATACCAAAGTCACTTTTTAATTTTTTTGAAACAGGGTCTCACTAAGTTGCCACAAGGCAGGCCTCAAACTGGTGATCTTCCTGTCTCAGCCTTCCTGGGTGGTGGGAGTATAATTCTGTGCCAGTATGTTTTTAAAATAATAGGCTCTTAGGTAATAATGTAAAAAAGCAGGAAATTACCATGATATGATACAAAAAAATTGGATGAGTACCTA